GATGCTGGTGCTGCTACGACAACGACCACTACTGCTGCTGTTCTGCTCGACTACGACTACGACTACTGCTACTACTATTACCACTACTACTACTACTACGACGACGACGACGACGACGACCACGACGACGACGAGGACTACGACGACACCAGCTGCTGTTTCATAACAAACCTAGTACCACCGTTCCACTTGTGAAGATGTTCTGTACGCATGCACTGCGCATAATTGCACATTCAACCCGGCAAAAAAAACCATGCACTTCTAGGTCTAGTCCAGTTGGCTACACACACACACACACCAACCTTCGTATCAGCTCAAAGCGCACTTTGTCCTTCCCTAATCCCAAAAGCATCCTGAACCCCTTGACCCCAAATCCGTACAACCTAAACCCCTAAAACCCTAATGCACCATCTGCAGCGAGCCGGTAGTCTGCCAACCTCTCTTCTGTCAATATGGATATCTAAAACCTCCCGACAAACATCCGTTGATATTTTGAAGCTGCTGCAATGCTTCCTTCGCATCGGGGCTCTTATGTCTGTTTCAACGAACATTAGGCCCCTTAATTTGCGAAGTTTGATTTTTACCCCGACATAGAAGTTACAACCCCCTTGCAACATTCCTGGAGGCTGAGCAAGTGTGCTTCAGCTGCGTGAAGCTTGATGGGCTGAGGCCAGCGCTGCATAGAACACCTCATCTTTCCGACTTTTGCAGGTCTTACTACAGGTTAACCCTTGGGGAATACAGGGTTCAGAATACAGTTGATGATATAAATCCTGCATTACCTTAAAGACCCTAAACTGTGGGAATTACGGCATATTCCTTACTATGGGTAATGCAGGATTTATATCATCAACCGTAGTACACCAAAAAGGTTAAGGAAACGCTAAACCCTGAACCCTAAACCGCTAAACCGTAACCCCCTACACCCTGGTAGGTCGGTCTACTACTAAGAGGAAGCGCAGGGTTCGACTCGAATGCCCAACTCTTGTACGAGCTTTCAATCTCACTGCCAGGTTACTATAGAATCCTATGTAATTCATGTAGGGGCCTTCATATTTAGAATAGGGGTTCCTTCAAAGGGTTCCTTCAAAAGGAGACGACAAGGGCTAGTATAAGGGCTCCATAATGTAGGGGCCTTAATAATTAGAATAGGGTTTTGAAAGGGGTATCTTATTATAATATACTTATAATACAGAAACCCCCAAAATAGTATAGGTAAGTATTTAGGCGCCTATACTACCAATATTATTCCTTAGGGTTCCTGAATATAGTTCTACTATAAATGAGCCGCAAACCCCGTTCTAATTCTCAAGGCTCCTACATTAGTGGTTTAGGCTCCGATCTTCTGGTCTCGGTGACGTTGGCGTGAGATGACTGCCGACTTCGGGTTGGCTGCGTGTAAGGCTGAAGTTTTCGAGCAACTTCGCGCATCAAAAAGTATTGCTGTTCTAACCCAGGAGTTCATATTTCGTGTTCGGCCTGATGTTATCTTGCAATAACTGGTCAAAGCCGGTGAAACCCGAAGCCTAAGCCCTATTACCCAAACTTGAAAACTCTGCTCCCAAAGCCTGATTCTCTATAAAGCTCTATCTCCCCCAAAAAAAAACCGAGCCGTAAACCCTACATAAACCCTTTTTTTGGACAGGCTTGAGCTCGCCTGGCCAAGTCCCCCCGCAGCACATCGCACCTAAACTCACACCCGTAAACCCCTTTTTTGAACCCAGACTCTGCCAAACCCTAAACCCGTAACCCGTAAACACCTAAACCCTAAACCCCTAATCCCCAGGCCCGAAACCCCTCTGTCACAGGCATTCAAAACCCCTGAACACCTAAACCCCAAACCCCGAAGCCTAACACCAAAAGCCTTCAATCCAGGACAGGAAAAAAGCGACTCCAGCACTGCACACAGCGGTGCCTGCAGATAAACCTGCAGGAACCCTCGAATGATAGGACCCATAGAAATTTCACGATCCACCAGACTGCAGTTGAGCTGCCATGCAGTACCTGCGATTTAGGGCCCAGGTTCAATGTTTGAGGGCTTAGGGTTGGGGCGTGGGGCTTAAGAAGCTCGAAGCTCGAAGAGTTGGGTTCAGGGCTGGCTTCCACATGCCGTGCCGGTAACCGGGCCACTGCATCTTGCGAATGTTCACGTGTTCTTCTCTATAACAAACACTTAAACGAGCACATCCTAATTGGGATCCTGGGCTGAGGCCCAAATTAGGCTTCCAGACTACGCAAACAACAGCCACAACGTATGATTCTCTTGAACCCCGGCACGGCTTGATGTGACTTCATTATGCTGTTCTTGTTTCATTTCGGATCGTCCAAACATTCACAAGCAAAAAAAATACCATGCGATGCTGGTGACATTGCCCCTACAAGCGGATGTCGTTTTGTCTTTTCATACACGGCAAGGAGATTCCAGACGCAGCTGCCAAACCCTGACACAAAGGGCCTAGAAATGCCAGCCATATTAGGGTTGAGTTCCTGCAGTGATTTTCAATCTGTGCTCAATCTACCCTGTTCGGGTTGAGTTCCTACCTACAGTGATTTTCAACCTGTGTTCAATCTACCTGAGAAACGCTTCCTGACACGCCTCCATGCCGCAAGGCCATGAACCATAAGGGTGTGACATTAAGGGTCCCTACCTTAAGAACCCCAAACCCACTTTTTTGTAGGCTCTTATTATAAACCCTAATATGGGATTGAAAGGGACCCTACAAAAAAAGTAGGTTTGGGGTTCTTAAGGTAAACCCTAAACCCTAACCCAAGTGAAGAGCAAAGGACTCCCGAAACTTGAAACAGGGTTCAGGGTGCCTATCTGTCTGGAACGCCCGAAACCCTTCCTTCCGTCTTGAAGCCCCTAAACCCTAAACCCTAAGCCCTAAACCCTAAACCCTAAACCTAAACCCAAACTCCCTTATGAACCCGGTCAACGAAGGCTAGGCATTAAGCCCTAAGCTGCAGACAACATCACCCTTGGGCCCTCCAACCCTGGCTAAACCCGTTTGTGCAAACAAAGGCGCCGTAAGGGTTTAGGGTTTAGGGTTTAGGGTTTAGGGTTTAATGATTCAAATCAAGGTTCGGGATCCAAGATAGTAGGATTCTGTACGGCCGATACGGGGATACTAGTACTAATGACCCCGAATGATTCCGACTCAATTCGGGGACCCCCAACCCCTAAACCCCCTTAACACTAAACGCTCTGCGGACCCAAACCCTCAAACCCTAAACCCTAAACCCTAAACCGCCCAAACGCAGCCGAGGCACAGCAGCTGCGTCAAGGCCTGTACCCAGAAAACTCCCCCCAGGTCTGGCTTTCGCGTCTCCGCAAAGACCTGAGCCGGCCCTCCCCACGGGTCACAAGGGTCTCTTTTTATATGTAGGGGACTCTAATATAGTATCCTAAATAATAGGATCCCTACTGTAAGGGCCCACAAATAAGGTACCCCTTATTTTCGGAAAATCCCATATGGAGTTCAGTATCAGTAGCAGCATCGTAATCATCATCATTGTCATCTTCGTCAACATACTTTTCAACAACACTGGCACCGTCATCATTACGACTACCCATTCAAGCTTAGGGTGCGCTTTGCGCGAGCATCTGGCGCTGTGCTCATCGCGGAAGCCTTAGCCCAAACGCTTCTCGAACCTTGCTCTTGTAAAAAATGCGTGCTATGTTATACAGATATACATATATATATACA